GAGTGGCGGCGATGGCGACCGTGATGGCAGCGACGACGGCGGAGCGGGCGGTGCTGGTGAGGCCCGTGGGCGGGGCAGGGTGAGGGTCGGCGGGCCGGGACAGCTGACAGCGAGGCTGTCCCCACAGGAGGAGGAGTTCCGCTGGCTGTTGCACGACGAGGTGCACGCCGTGCTGAGGCAGCTGCAGGACATCCTCAAGGTAACGCGTCTGTCGGGCCTCTAAGGGCGCCCACCCTCCCCATCCTCCCTCAGCGCGGCTCCTGCCCCGGCCTCCCGTGCCTGCCGCCCGAGCGCCGGCTGTGAACGCAATGCCTTGTGTTTAGACCAGGCCCAGCCCTCTGTGGACTTAGAGTCTAGCCGGGGGCACCAGCAGATAATTACCCAATTCTACAAGCAGCTTTATGAGCGCGGTGGGCTTGGGTTGAGCCCGGGGTCGGGGAACGCTTCCTTTGGAACTGTGACATTTAACCTCAGATCTGAAAGACTCAGCATTTCGACCTCAGCCAAGTACTCCATTTCTCTGGGTCTCCACTTTGCAAAAAGGAGATAGCAGTACTAGCCTCAGGGCTGTCGTGAAGATAAGATAGCCTGTAAAGTCACCCAGAATGTCCAGGCAATGCCTGGTAAGGCCAGAATTGTGGGTTGCCATGACTACTGTCATTTCTGACTTTGCTTCCCACATCCAAGCACCTTAACCAAGCTAGGAGGGTATCTCTTGGCTCTATATCCCATGTTGGGCACACAGTAGGCTCCCAGGGAACGTGGAAGGAGCAAGTATCAGCTCAGGTAGGACCTGAAACTCAGGCTGTGGGGGAGGGGCCTTGGGAGTGGGGCTTCTGGAAGACGCGCTGGGCTGGTGTGGGTGAACTTTACCCCACTCCCCTCTGTCCCCCAGGAGGCCTCTCTCCGCTTCACTCTGCCAGGTTCAGGCACCGAGGGGCCCACCAAGCAGGAGAACTTCATCCTGGGCAGCTGTGGGTGAGCCCCGGCTGGGTGGAAATGGGAGGATGGGCTCTTTGCGAAGGGAATCACCTGGATACCCTCTAGGACAAGTGGCACGGCCAAAGCCCTGCCCTGCAGACTGACTTCAGCTCTGATGTCCAGAGGGTGTGCAGTGGGACAGGCTGGACCATCCTGTGACAGCCAGGGGCAGCCTGTTGGGAGGGTTGGTAGTAGGAGGGGGCAGCCGCAGGCCCTGCTCTGACCCACGTGTATTGCAGCACAGACCAGGTGAAGGGCGTGCTGACTCTACAAGGGGATGCACTGAGCCAGGCGGTGAGTTCCCCGGCCCCTCTCCCCTTCTCATGCTGTCACAGGAGCCTGTGGGGAAGAGCATGGGAGGCCTCCTGCTTATCTCAGCTCTACCACCAGCTTGCTGCGTGACTCTGGGCAAGATCCTTAATCTCTATGGGCTTCAGTTTCCTTACTTGTTAAAATGACAATGACCCCTCCTAACTTGCTCATGGGATTTGGTGTGTGGCTTCAGTGAGAGGTGCAGGAAGGGGCAGATGCTCTGCAGACAACCCTACCTGGAGTCTGGGCTCAGGGATTAGGCTGGCCCCAGATCAAAGTGGAATCAGCCAACATCTGAGTTCTGTCTGCACCTGACCCTGTGCCAGGTGCCAAGGCATGGAAGAAGTTCCTTCTCCTCCTCGGGTGGGCGGTTTGTCCCTTGGCATGTACAGATGTTCCCTATTTGTGCACAACCACACACCTCTCCCAGCCAAGGCCACCTTCCCCTTTCTTTTTTCCCTTTCATTTCTTTGTGGTTCCTCTTGGGCCTGGGTTCCTGTTTCCTGACCTCCCTGTTCACCCTTCAGTTGGCCAAAGTGTTGAGACCCTCTGCCCCAGGAAGTGGCTGAGGCCTGACCTGCAGCACACACCTGGTTTCTGCGCCTGGCTCAAGGGCTCAGAGTGGCCAAAAGCAGGAGGGCGTCCCTCTGGCCAGCTTATCCCGCTCTTGCCCAGCAGGATGTGAACCTGAAGACGCCCCGTAACAACCAGCTGCTGCACTTCGCCTTCCGGGAGGACAAGCAGTGGAAGCTGCAGCAGGTGACCTGGCCCTTCATTGTCCAGGGCTCAGGCCACAAGGGCAGGCAGGGGCAGGCCTCTGTGGGGACTGGCAGCCATAGCAAGCCTGGGAGGGTGTTTTTTCCAGCAGGGCAACTGGGGCGGGCGGTGCCTGATCTCCAAAGCCTAGCCTGTCCTCTGTGTAGGACACCCTGAACAAATCACTCCCTGCCGAGAGCCTCCAGGGGCTTCCCATGGCTCTTGGGGACCAAGTCTATGCTCTCTAGCAGCTCCTATGTGACTATGCCTGGCCTCTGCCCCTTACCTCTCACTGGCCACCAGCTTTTTCCACCTCAAGGCCTTTGCTCTGAAGGCAGCACCTCTCCCTGCCGAGGCCCAGCCCTCTGACCACCCACTGGGCACTGTTTTCAGATCCAGGATGCCAGGAACCACGTGAGCCAAGCCATTTACCTCCTCGCCAACCGGGATGAGAGCTACCAGTTCCGGACGGGAGCAGAGGTCCTCAAGGTGAGCTGCCCCGAGGGACAGGAGAGCCAGGTTCCCTGACCAGGCCCCTGGAGAGCTCTGCCCCTACATTCTCAGGTGGAGCTGATGGTTGACCCCTCAGCTCTCAGTGTACCCACATCCATCCAGCCAGTTGAATGGCTCACAGTCCAGACTCCAGAATCAGACCTGGGATCTGATCCCAGGGCCTCCACAATGAGCTGTGCAACCTCAGGTCACTTACTTAGCCACTCTTTGCCTCAGTAGCCTCATAGCCTCACCTGTAAAAGGGGAACAAGCTATAGTGACTACCAATTGTGACAACGCAGGTAAAGTGGCCCCTAGGAAGTGCTCAGTCAATAGTAGCTGCAGGTGTTAGTATGGACAACAGAAAACCTTTGTTATTAACAAAGTAAATTCATATGGTGTGGAGGGACAAGGTGAGCCCAGATGCCCTGGGTTCATGCCTTAGTTCTGCCCCTGACTTGCTGTGTGTCCTCAGGTGATTCACCTTACCCTCTCTGGACCTCTGGGTCCACATATGAACACTTGGAATCAGATGGACTAAGATCCCTCTCAGAACTATGACTGCCTTGTGGGGTATAAGGTGCAGCCCCCGCACCTCCAGCCAGTAATTCTGCCTTTCCTGGGAGCCAGGTGACCCCAGCACCGCAGCAACAGCTGGATGAACAGCTGGAAGCAGTGGAAACTAGGGCTCTGAATTTGAGCAAGAGCTTTGCTCCATGGCAGAAGAAAGGGCTGAGTTCCAGATGGCTCCACTGTTCCTAGCTGTGTGACCTTAGCCCTTTGGAGCCTCAGTTTCCTCACCTGTGAAAACGGGGCTGCTGCCCACCTTAAGGCTCCAACTCAGCGTCCCAGTGCTTCCTCCAGGAAGCCTTCCCTGGCTCCTTGCACCCAAGCTGAATTAGATTCTTTTCTTCTAATTTCCTTCATTGCCTGTACCCCCATCTACAAAGCCCTCATGCCCTTTGGGACTAACTTCCGGGATCTTTCCATTCCCCATTGGATCAGCACCCAGCATTCCATGCAGTAGGACCTTCCAAATGGGTGGTCAGCAGTGAAGATGTCCTGCCCCCCACCCCCAGCTACAGCCCAATTACCTGAATCTTTAACGAGCCTCCTGCTTATTCAGGCCCTGAGACCCCCAGGGAAGCAGCTGGGAGCTGCGGTAACTTTGTCGCTCTCTGATGTGGGGGCTGGGGAGTGGGGAAGAGGTTGGAATCAGGACTAGGCTCCGCTGCCTTCACAGCCACTGTGACAAGTCCCCTTTCCCCAGCTGATGGACGCCGTGATGCTGCAGCTGACTAGAGCCCGAAACCGGCTCACCACCCCAGCCACCCTCACTCTGCCTGAGATCGCTGCCAGCGGCCTCACGGTCAGTGCCTCAGACCAGCCACCGCTCCAGGAGAAGGGGTCCCCACAGAGGGACCCAGCTTGCCCCTGGGAGGGACACGGGTGCCAGAGGGGCCTGGAAGCCCCAAACTGTCGACAGAGTTCTATGTCTGTGCACAGTTTTCTGGGATAGGGTCCTTGGCTTCCGTCCTGCATCCCCCAAATATGTCACCCCTGATCTGGGTCAGTGGTTCCCAAGCCCAGTGGTGCAGGAAGATACCTGGGGCACCTGGGGAGAGTCTAGAAGCCCCAGTCCATGGGATGGGGGCTGAGATTCCCCCATGTGGTTGTTGGAGGGGCGGTGACTGCCTGGACCTCATCCCACCTGCTTGCCCGCCCCCTTCTGCCTACAGAGGATGTTCGCCCCGGCCCTGCCCTCCGACCTGCTGGTCAACGTCTACATCAACCTCAACAAGCTCTGTCTCACCGTGTATCAGCTGCATGCTCTGCAGCCCAATTCCACCAAGGTGAGCACCCCGCCCTGCCTGCCCGCTCTGTCCCAGCCTGCCCCAGCCCCAGCCTCAGCCCACCCTGCAGCCCCTGCCCCTGCCCCTTCCCCAGCCCCTGCTCCTGCCCCTGCCCCAGCACTTGCCCCAGCCCCTGCCCCTGCCCCCCGCCCCAGCCCACCCTGCAGCCTGGGGCCTGACTTGGTTTGATGCTCTTCTACCTAGAACTTCCGCCCATCTGGAGGCGCTGTGCTCCACAGCCCCGGGGCCATGTTGTAAGTAGGCTGCCTGGGAGGGGTCCCTGGAGCTCCCTCTGCACCTCGGGGGATGGAGTCCGGACTGGCCCAGCCGCCCTCAGGGACCCTCCCATCTCTCCCCAGTGAGTGGGGTACACAGCGTCTGGAGGTGAGTCACGTGCACAAGGTGGAGTGTGTGATCCCGTGGCTCAACGATGCCCTCGTCTTCTTCACCGTCTCCCTGCAGCTGTGCCAGCAGCTCAAGGATAAGGTGGGCACATGGGCGGAGGAGGGGTGTCACTCAGGTTAGGCTAGCCAAACAGCAGGTTGTTTAGCCCATTTGGGGGGATTCCAAGGGCTCCTGTCACACCTCCAAAGCACCCCCACATCTTAAGGTCTGTTGTGCTCTCCGCACACCCCAGACATGGTGTTGCTAGGCAACGGTATCCTCTCCTGGACATGGCCCTTGGATGACCTTGAAGTCTCTCCTGAGTCACAGAAGGTGCAGCAGGGGCCAGACCCCCAGCACCACCCCTCACCATGTCTCCCATCTCCCTCCCCGTCTAGATCTCCGTGTTCTCCAGCTACTGGAGCTATAGGCCTTTCTGAGCAGAGCACCCAAGAGCCTGTACCCCTGGGAATGGCCCCTGCCTGAGGATCCCCGTCCTCCCCCAACCCCCTCTCCCCGCCCAGAGTGCCGGCCAGTGCTGCACACTGTTTGTTTCCAGCGGGCTGTTTATTTCTCTCTTCACCCTGTCCTGCCTGTCACATCTGCACAGATGGGATTGAACACTAGACCCACTGGGAGGGACACTAGCTTGCTTTTTCATTTTGGATGGGGGAAGTCAGAAAGGCAGGGCCCCGTTCCAAGCCCTGCCCTCCCTACAAGGCCAGAACCTTTGGACTCAGGGTGGGGCCAGGCCAAGAGCTCTCCTTCCTCCCCTCTTAGCTGCCTGCCAAGCTTCCCCAGGATGGCGAGGGTGGTGGCTCTGAGCTGTGAGTTGGGAGGGAAGGAGGACAGGGGCCGCCCCCCCGTGAGCTGTGGTGCCCTTGACCATGTCTGCTCTAGCAGGGCCTCTGAGAAATAAAGATCATCTGACGTTGCCTGGAGCCCTGTCTGTCTGTCTGTCTGTCTGAATGGGGGCCTGGCCAGGGGGTCCCTGATGGCCAGGAGCTGGGCTCAGGACTCAGTGACTGAGCCCCTGGCCTCCCGGTGCAGAGGGGCCCAGTGGGATGGCCACACAGACTGTTGCTGGGTGGCTCCAGCACATCACCTGAGGCCTCCTGGTGACAGTCATGCCAGCTGCGGGCTGTTGAGGGACCCAAGCGGCATCTAGATGAAGCAGTGAGGGCCTGCACTGCCCACCCTGACGGGAGGGTCGGAACATGCTCCACACTCAGGCTGCAAATGAACAAGGCGTTGTTTCTCCTTCCCGGGGGACCAGAGCAGGGGGCAGGGACTCTCTGCGCTAAGGTTCCAGGGCCAAGTTATCAAATCCCCGGGAGTTTTTCTGCAAAAGAGGCACAGAGAGGGCGAGTGGCTTCACTCCTCGGTCCGCTCCGACCCCTCTCCACAGTAAGCCCAGCACCCACCCCAGCGCAGATCCATGCTGCCCCTGGTGCCCAGGGCTCACCTTCTGGGACCTGGGGGAGCGGTGCTGGCAGCAGTCAGGGCAGCAGCAGTGGAAGCAGACGAGCAGCAGCAGGAGCAGCACGACTCCTGGGGGCGGGACGGGTGTCCAGATATGGCCCTCGGCCTGGGAGGCAGACGAGGTGGGAGGGCGAGAGGCTGAGCCACACTCACCGAGAAAGATGAGGAAGATGAGGAACGCAGCGGTGTCCCACTTGGACTGGAACAGCTGGCCACTCTTCAGTTTCCCCAGCACTTGCTGGACTGTAGCGTTCAGCTCCTGCTTCAGGTCCTCCGTCGACAAGGCCATCTCAGCAGGAGGGTCCTGGGTGCCACCTGCTCCAGCCCCCCAGAGTGCCATCTCAGAACCCTGGGCTCCTCTGGGGCTGCCATATCCGGCCTCCACAGTCCAGCCCTGGCCCTGCCCGCCCACACCACCTCTCTGGGCCCCAGCCCCTACCCCTGCCCGTCTTCCTCTCCTGACCCCGACCCTGGCCAGGGCAGCCCCCTCCCCTTACTCTTTCCCGGCAGCCCCATCGCCGGACCTGCCTCTGGGCTCCCCCAGCCAGACCGGTCCTGGGTCCTGGGAGCACAGACTACTTCCTGCTTCCGGATCCGCATCACCTGGGGCCTGGGCAGCCAGCCCCTCCCACCCTGCTCCCCCAGGGCCAGCCCGGGGCTGCGGAGCTTGGTGGGGCGGGGCCTGTGTCCCACAGGTGTGCTTCCTGCCTCCTAACAGCAGCAAATGCTGCGGGACCCAGAGAGGCGGCCACCAGCCGGTCTACCTCTTCATTCTGGGCATTTTTCACTTTTTCTCATAAACCAGGCCAGCAGCTGGGAACACAGTGGGCGCTCAGCCTCTGTTGATTTCACAGATGAAGACAAAAAAATGGCGGGAGGTGGGAGGGAGGGAGAAGCTGGTTCCATTTCCCAGCCCTTCCCTGACCAGCGGCCATGTGCCTGGCATCCCACTTGCAGCCTTTTGGGGTTCTCCTCCTCTATTCTAATCCTCACAGTGACCCTTACAAGACAATGGTTTTCGCCACTCAAATGAGCTCTATCCCCGGAACTTGGGGCCTGGGGCTCCCTATGTACCATCTGGTGGCAGCTCTAACTCCTCCATTACTCTGACCAGGCCCACCAAGGGCCAGGACTGCTGGGCACTTGGGTCTGTGGGTAAACCAGGTGGACATACCTTCTTGTCCTTGTGGGACTTATGGTCTAGCAGGGAAAGCTTACTGGCTAATGTTAGGCTCTGTGCCTGTCATCATACAGACACACCTTTCTGTACTGCACTTTGCAGTAAAGAAAGTTTTTGACAAATTGTAGCAACCCTGGGTGGAACAAATCTACTGGGGACATTTTCCAACAGCATTTAGAAACTTTCATTGTTATTATTGTGGCGATCTGTGATCAGTGATCTTTGATGTTACTAACTGTAATCATTTTGGCAATTTTAGCAAAGTATTTTTAATTAAGACCTGTACATTGTTTTTTTAGACACAATGCTATTGAACACTTAATAGATTACAGTATAATGTAAACATAACTTTTTTATTGAAGTATAGTCAGTTTACAGTGCTGTGTCAATTTCTAGTGCACAGCATCATGTTTCAGTCATACATATATTCCTATTCATACTCTTTTTCATTATAGGTTACCACAAGATACTGAATATAGTTCCCCATGCTATACAGTATGAACTTGTTGTTTATCTTATATGTAGTAGCTAGTATATGCAAATCTTGAACTTCCATTTTATCCCTTCCCACTTGCTTTCTCCCTGGTAACCATGAGTGTTGTTTTTTATGTCTGTGAGTCTTTTTAAAGAGTTTTGTAAATAAGTTTATTTGTGTCTTTTTTTTTTTAAGATTCCACATACGAGTGATACCATATGGTATTTTTCTTTCTCTTTCTGGCTTGCTTCACTTAGAATGACAATCTCCAGGTCCATCCACATTGCTGCAAATGGCATTTTATTCTTTTTATGGCTGAGTAGTATTCCATTGTATAAATATACCACAACTTCTTAAGTGCACTGGGAAACTAAAAAATCTGTGACTTCCTTTATTGTAATACTTGCTTTATGGTGGTGGTCTGGAACTGAACCTGCAGTACTGAAGTATGTTATTACCTACTTTATTCCTCATGGCAATCTTACAGTGGGTATTATTGCTATTCCCATTTTACAGATGTGAAACCTGAGGCCTTGCGAAGTTCAGCAACTAGCTCAAGTCACACATCTAATGTATTCATTTCCTGTTGTTGCTATAACATACTACCATAAACTTGGTGGCTTAAAACAATGCAGGTTTACTATCTTACAGCTCTGGAGGTCAGAGTCTAAAAAGGGTGGATAGGACTGCGTTCCTCCTGAAGGGTCTAGTGGGGAATCCATTCCTTGCTTTTTCCAGCTTCTAGAAGCCACCCACATTCCTGGGTTCATGCCCCACCCCCATCACTTCAATTTCTGCTCCCATCCTCACATCTCTGACTCTACCCCTTTTGTCTCCCTCTTATAAGGACCCCTGTGATTACACTGGCCCACAGGACAATTTCCCCATCAAAACCCTTAATCACATCTCCAAAGTCCCTTTTGCCATGTAAGGTATCATATTCACAGGTTTCAGGGATTCAGATGGGGACATCTTTGGGGACCACAATTATGCCAAGCACACCCAGTGAGCAGAGAAAGCAGAGCTGGGACCCACGCGTTCGGATTCCAGAGCCCTTGACCATCATGTCATAAAGCCTCCTGTGCTGGGATCCCCGCCTTACACCTGATCTCCCCTCCATCCCATTCTGAGACCTCAGATTCCTGTTGCCAAGAGAGGATAGTTTGGAAATGACTGGAGTGTTCTGTTGTGAAAGGGGGTAGGGTTGCAGCCACTGTGGAGAATGGTCTGGCATTTCCTTGGAAAGTTACACACAGTTTTGTCATAGGACACAGCCCTTCCGCTGCTAGGTATATACTAAGAGATGAAAACATATTCACACGGAAACTTGTTCAGAAATGTCCACAGCAGCATTTTTTTCATAATAGCCAAAAAGCAGCAAGACCCCAAATTGTCCATCACATGATGAATGAATAAACACAATGCTGTCAATCTGTGCAGTGGAATAGTATTCAGCCATGAAAAGGAAGGGTTACTGAGAGACATGCTACAAAGTGGATGTACCTTGAAAACATGATGCTCCATCAAAGAAGCCAGACACAAAAGGCCACATGTTGTATAATTCCACGTGTATGAAATGTCCAGCAGGGGCAGATCCACAGAGACAGAGAACAGTTAGTGTTTCACAGGGGCTGGGGTCGCTTAGTGGTGATGGGGTCTCCTTTTGGGGTGATGTGCTTGTCTCAGAACTAGACAGAGGTGATGGTTTTGCAACATTAGGAATGGACTCAATGCCACTGATCTGTTCACCTTAAAATGGCTAGCAGTTAATTTTACATTATGTGAATTTTACCTCAATGGAGAAAAGAAAACAGGGAAAGAGGCTGACAACTGTGGCCCCTGCCCACCCCTTGGCCTGGCTGTGTGGGCAGGAGGCCCATGGTCCCCTCCTCTCCCCACTGACCCAAAGTCTTCCTGCCCAGACCCCCGGCTGCCTCATTTCTTGTTTATTCTCATTAAAGAAGATGTGGGCTACTCTGAGTCATTAGAAGACAAAACTACTCGTAGAGCACCCCCCACCCTAAGACCCAAGCAGAGCAATGACAGGGGAAAGGCCACGACTGGACACGTTTCAGATGTGTCAGACCCCAGACTGGGGTCCTGCTCCCAGCCCTTAACACCAACCAGGGTGGGACCAGGCGCCTGGCCCCTGACCCTTCTCACCTCAGTTTCCTCACCCTTAAAGTGGGTGTGTAAAGAGTACGCCCCCACCTTGGGTTGTTGTACAGATTGAATGGAATAATCAATGCAAATGCTCCCTTAGCTCAGCGAATGCACTAGAAAACATGCATCAGATGGCCATGTACCTCACTCAGCCTGTGGGTGGATTCCCTCTGGTCTGGTTGTTTGGGTACCTGCGGGCTCACCTGCCATCCTGACACTGCTCTGATCCCTTTACCCTTGGCTTTCCCCAGTCAGCACGGCCAAGGGCGCCTTGAATGGTCCTGCCTTCTGTAGACATGGTCCTCCTGTCCACAGTCCCGGTGGGTGTCCACTCAGGCTTTCTTCCCCGCAAGTTTCCAGAATCCTACATCACTCCTGTGGGATGCTTCTCCTAGAGAAAGTGTTTTCTCGGCAGAGAAGCTTATATCCGTAGGGGACATCCCCAGAGGCAAGAATCCCCTCCTGTGCAAGGTCGGTCCCCGTGTCAGTCACCTGTGCTGCTCGGCCATCCACACAGAACGTTCTCATCTGTGTTGACGATGAGACCACAGCCTCTCCAAGTCCTTCAGGGGCTGTGGCATCATAGCTTGAGAGAGTTCTCTGGCGGGATGAGCATCATGTTCCGGGTGGGCTCTGTCCCAGGCTCTGCCCAGCCTAACTCCTGGCCTCCAAGCCTTGAAAGTAAAGTGTAAGCCTCTGTCCTCAGATGTGTAGAAGGTAAGGGAGTAGAAGGACACAGGCAGGGAGAGACAGAGGCTGCTGGGCTCAGGGCAATTTAGGTGAATGGACTAGTGAGTCCCGGGGGCAGAGCGGGGGCGGCAAGCCACCGCCTGCTTCTATGAATGGCCTGAGAGGCACAAGCCACTCCCGTGCCTCCACCTGCTTTCACACCACAAGGGCAGAGCTGGAGTGTGCAACAGAGATCTTAGGATGGGCAAAACTTAATATGTGTTCTATCAGGCCTTTTACAGGGAGCATTGGCCAACGTCTGAAACGCGGATTGCTTAGGGCTTGCAAGCTCAGGTGCCAGGAAACAGGTGAGAAAGGACAAGCCAAGTGAGATGGACTTGGTTTAAGAAACATCAGAGAGACATTAGGGGGAGGTGAGGACTGGCAAACTGGAGAGCACGTAGCCCAACTTAACAGGGCAGCTCGAGTCAACTGTGGGCTGGGCCGGGACTTGCCAGGGCTTACAGCCTCCACGAAGCAGCAGAAATCTAGGTGTTCCTGTGAACAAGAAAGGAGGCTGTAGAGGGTGAGCACGTGGACTCGGATCCCAGCCCTGCCTCTTCCTTACTGTGCGACCTTGAACTGCTCTCCAGACACTCTCTTATCTGTAAACTGGTGGCAGTTACAGCACTTACGTCATAGGGCTGTGATGATTACTACGTTAACATCCTGGTCTTAGAACCGTGTCATGCACAAACAAAACACGGGGTATGTTGGCAATTTAAAACCCTGTGGCACTGGCAACTGACAGACCAAAGAAAACAAGTGGATGTTTTGCCTTCCAGCTGTGGGTCACAAGTCTGCTTCCCCGCAGAGTGCTTAAGGGGCATGAACTTGGAAGCCCGAGGGACTGGCTGAAGCCCAGCTCTGCCACTTAGCAGCCAGGTGACCTTGGGCAAGGGAGCCGCCTTGGGGGCCTGGGTTCCTGTCTGTAGAGCTAGGATCATTGTGAGGGTTACAGGGCAGGGACCTGAAAGGGCCTGGAGGAGTGGCTTAGCTGTCGCAGTCCTTGGGCCCCTGCTGCAGAGAAGCCCCCCAGGACCAGGGTCACAGGAAGAGGGTGGAACT